AGCATCAAAGGAGGCTCGGTCATCGGTCTCTAGGCACCAAGAGTACTCATGACTGAACCGAGCCTCATATTCTTTTAAAGGTTCATAGTGTCGTTGCCGGACAGTGTAAAGATCATCAGTAGAATAGAGACGATCGATTTATATCATTAATGAAAATTTCCTTTAATTGATTAAAAGAGATAACCGTACTTGGCTCTAATCGAAAGAACCAATTCAGGGCAACATCAGCCAAAGTGGATGGGAACAATAGGCATTGTCCTTAGTCGATGAGCCCTTTGCAGCCCAATGCCGATTGAAAAGTATGGATGTGGATTAAAAGATCATATACCTTTGTGTAAAACGGTATCCTGACGATTTGGACATCTTTCTCCTACCTGTAGGTTCTTTTTCTTCTCGGTTGTCATCATCTACCATTCAGTAGGATTTGCAATCGTGGCAATATAGTGCGAGCCCCACCGACTGGTTCGAACGTGACCGGTCTCACGTCCTGCCATGGCCAGACGGCCGTGAATCGAAGAGAGAGAGAATCGGAGTCGGGGAGAGAGAGAGGAGAGAGAACGCGCGAGAGAGAGAGAGAGAGAGAGAGAGAGAGAGACGGGGGCAGTTCCGTCTTTTTAACCAAAAACCCATTTCAAAATATTTATGATTTTGCCACTGATGATGTTTTACCCGTAACTTCTTCGTTACAGCTCTGATTTAAGCCCACTACGTCTCTACGAACTCATCTCGCCGTGCTCTACGCAACGGTACAACCGGAATTCCCAAATTCCATCTGAATAAGAAAATGACTAAAATACCCCTATCTCATGGGTAAATTCATAATTCCACTTAAATAAATTAAAATATGCAATAAATTTGGAGTCAGGGTGTTACACAGTAGGCATGTATTGGGTCCGCCAGTGGCTGCAAAGAAGCTGAGGGCATCAGGCGTGAAGTTTAGGCCACTTAAAGATGGACCCTTTATCATAAAGATAGATGAGGCCACTAAATGTAAGTTCAACTTAGCATGTGTTAGAAATATGGACTTGAAGCTTACGCCATTTGAGGTCAAGGATGAGACAGAATGCGTTGTTCGGAACATCATGGCCTTGGAGCAGTTTTTATACCCAGACGAGCCTTATATCTGCAATTACTTTTTGCTTATGGATCAGCTGGTGGACACTCTGGATGAGGTGGATTTGCCGGTTGAGAACAAAGTTATTATTAACATGCTAGGCAGCAACAAAGCATTGGCGAAGCTGGTTAATAGACTTTGTGAGTAGATCATGGACGATCCATCCTGCTATTTTGGTATCAGTAATCAGCTTAATAAGCACTATGAAATTTTTTGGAACCGTCATGTGGCAACCCTGAAACGAGTTTACTTCAAGGATCTCTGGACGGGCAGTTCAACTGTACTTGGAGTTTTCGTCCTGCTTTTCTGAGTCAGTAGAACCACTAAGTATCTCATGTCGTAAGCTTTAAGCTCATTCAACTCGTGATTCTTAATAGACAGAATGTTAATTTCAGTCATTACTTCAAGTGATGAATTGAACAAATAAATTAGCCAGTGTTATAGATTTAATATAAGTTTGAGTTACTAATTAGTTCTGTTATTGTTGGTAAAGACTGCAGAGCAGTTCTTCTAGGCTTCTTTCTAGTTTTTTGTTGCACAGCCCTTCTCATATAGGAGCTGCTGCCTCTTTGTATTATTGTTCTGAACAATTAATGAAAGCCCTGGTTTATCTCTTCCCTGTTTTCTCTTTAATTGGTGTTTGAGATTATTGTGTGTTGGTTTCACTGGTGAGTTAATCTATGGTGGGTTGTGTTTCAATTGTTGTTTTCTATATATCTACTTAAAGTCCTTTACATTAAATTTTGATGAGGTAGCATAGTGCGGAAGAGAAGTCAAACATATCATGGGAAACAAAATCCAAACAAAAAACCTCGGATCCTTTGAGCACACGTGAGATTCGTACTCCCTTCCCTATTAAAAAACAAGTTGGCTCATTAAATTATATATGGTTTTCCTAACAGAGTCACATTGATGCCCGTCTTTCATGATGAAACACAAAATTAATTTGTTAAGGTTACTTATATATTAAATGACAGCTGCCTTTAAGCATTTAGTTAATTTCTTTGGTTTAGGGACCTGTTGCACTCTGACCTTTAAAAATAAATAAAAGGGGACATGTTGCACCAAACCCCACAAATTTTCTGGTTAGTTTACTTAACACCAGGTCTTAGTTTAAGTTTGGGTAATTGTATTAGGGGTGTGTGCATATACACCTAATAAATTTATTTATTTATTTTTAATCAATTTCCAACCTAGAACATATGGTGCAAATGTATCACCTCCATCCAAATCTGTTAAAAATTATGTTAACCCAAGGGCAATTTCATCAGTTCATTATAATTAAAAAGGCAAAAAATTAAAATTTCTAAATAATTAAATAATAATTCACATCATCCCTTACCTTTCCCTTCTCCTTCCCACTCAAGGCGGCCCCTACCTCCTTCTCTGCACCCCCGCACCGCACAGCCCCTCATCCTCCCTCACTACCTCTAGCTTGAGCTTGAAACCCATGGTCTTATCATTACACTCCCACCAGCTTCTCCCCATGTTACTCTCTCCTCCATGAAAACCCATCCCTCCACAACACACTCTTTTCGAACAAGAACATATTGCTCTCACTTTCACTCTCACTTTCAACAGTAAAAACAAAGTTGCTTTGCAGACCCCTTCATTGTAAACATGCCAGAGAATACTATTTTGTGGTATGTTCTCCCTAGACATGCTCATTGCGAATTACCCATTATGCGCTGGTTTTTTGTCCCTGTAATTAATATTATAATAATGGGGTGCAGGGGTTTCACCATGAATTTGGTCTGCCATCGATGGGAAGGCTTACGGCAAGAAGGGTGTCTGAGTTTGCGGGGGTGGGGTGGGGGAGGAGGGAAGCCTTGAGTAATTTATTTTTTCCGAACTATTATTTTGGTTTTTAACTTTTTAATTAACGGGATAAAACTTTAATGGGTATAAAAAAATATTTCTGGGTGTGTTTAAAATTATTTAACGGAATGTGGATGGAATTGGATGGAGGTGGCACTTTCTCAATAAAAGTGAAGCTTGGGGGGTTAAATGTTAAAAAAACATTATTAAGTGGTAAATGAACACACCCTTAATAGTTCAGTGGTGTTTAAACGTTCCCTCTTCTAGATAGTGGTCAGCGGAAGCAAGACTTTGTTTGACTTGGATCAATGTAAAGGTCCCCTGTTCGATCTGGTTAGCTGAACGACGCAAGTCTCTCTCTTCATCTAACTTTCTACTCGGTGTTAAATAAGAAGCCTGCACCGTTGTGGTCGACTCAAGAACCACATCAGACAACTGGGAGATGAAACTTGCAGGTTCATTTTCTCACTCTTGGTTCATTTTCTCACTCTTGGTTTCTTCTTCTTTTTCCAATTTGAAAACAAATATTCATCACAAAGCTAAAATCATGATATAGATATGGATTTTGGATCATTATTATTCATGTCAAGATAAAATCATGATATTAGATAAGAGATTCGACCAAATTCAAGATGTTAACTTGGTCTTACTTAAATCTTGAATTTCTAACAATGGCCAGAAATAGATAAAAAGCAAGGGACGAAAAAGATGGTGGTTGACGAGAATGCGGACGACAAGAGTCCAAAGCATAACCCTAACCATGATGCCGAACATACTCCCCCCTTAAAGTGTCTTAGTCTCGGCGGCAGGTAAGACTTTCATTTTACCATATGCTGTTTTGGGAAGAAGAGAAAGGGGCAGCCATTTTTTTCTTTTCTTTTTCAAGGCGTGCATCATATATATATATATATATATATATATATGTGTGTGTGTGTGTGTTTATAGATAACTTACCATTCTCTAGAAGCTTACCCGGTACAATATGGTGTCATAATCCGAATAATCAATTTTTAACTTCCTCTGTGATTCTAAAAATTTGTCAAATCTAAAAATCACTTACCCTCTCCGTTTGAATGGAGGAAAATAAGAAAAATAACTCAAGAAGCGAAGAAAATGAATTGATATTTCTCCATCTTTATCTCTCTTGCCTTCTCTATCTCTCTTTGAATTACCCAAACAAAAAATAAATCAATAAACAGATTAATTAAACCCCAAAAAAAAAAAAAAAAAAGACTCACGAAATACAGAGACTAGGGAGGATGGTGGGGTGTTAACCCAATTATAAAAATCAGGGATTCCGGCAAGGATGGGTGAGTCAAAGTAAAACTTTCATACCTATCTACTGCCATGTCATTAATTAACAGACTTTTTGAGAGCAGATTCACGGCGAGTATGAAAGTTGTAGAAAATTTAACGTTATGTACAAAAGTGGGACGGAAATAAAAAGTTTGTGTAATAAAGTCTGAAAGTCAGTAAACTTCAGGATAATAAAGTGAAATACGAGTACTCAACCAATTTTGAGATAATTCAATAAAGCACTAACTAATACTATGATTTAAGTTGGATGACAATTCAATAATTACTAGGATATATGTCATCCACTTATATGTTCTAAACTTTTTCTCTTATACTGTCAGGCACAACGTTTTCGGCAGGGCAGCTTTCAGGAGGACTGCAAGCCAAGAATATTGCTCGACGCTAAGGTACACAAGAATATAAATTTGATAAAATTACAATTTATGACCATATAGTATAAGCACAATGATCTTGGCACTCCCAACTTCTCAAACTTCTCCAGCAAAAAGGAAAAAAAAAAAAAAAAAAAAACTTCTCAAAATTTTCTACCCTGACACATGAGGAGTGCGTGAGGTTATTTAAGGGTGATTTTAGAGTGCCAAAGCATATGAAATAAACAATAATCTATCAGAGTTGAAATACTTATGACTTATGCTAATAGAACATTTGTTACAGCTAAATGTTGTTCTATTGCTGCCACAGAAATTAGGTTCAACGCTGTCAATTCCTTTCATACTGATTGTAGTTCCATTTTCAGAAGGACAAAGACTACGTCACAAATTACTGAGAAAACAGAAAATGAAGAAGAATGCCAGGTACGAGTCTTGGACAAGCCAGACAAGTGGTGTATCTATAGGGTTCCCAGTAAACTCCGCAAAGTAAATGAAGCAGCATACACTCCTCAATTACTATCAATTGGCCCTTTCCACCATGGCAAACCAGAACTCAAGGACATGGAGACCCATAAAAAGATATATTATGAGAATTTTCTTGCACGTTTTAAGAAGAGTGACGATGAACTAAAGCAATTCATCAAGACTCGTCAAGAAAATATTCTTCGTTGTTACGCAGGGACCATTGAGCTTAACAAAGACTTCGAAGAGATAATTGCCGTTGATGCGTGCTTCATCATTGAGCTATTTTTAATGAACTTCAACGATCCAAAAAATCATGAAAATGATTATATATTGAGATCACCATGGCTCAGGAAAGCTGTAGAGCAGGACTTGATACTGTTTGAAAATCAGCTTCCTTATTCTCTTCTTCAAGAACTATATCAGAACTTTGCTGTGCCTCCCTCTTCCAATTTCCAACCTTGGAAAGAAGTACAAGAACAGGCTGATAGACAGAGCAGTACCAATCATGACTTGCCGCACTGCTCGCCTTGCTGCGGGCATTGCTTGCCTTGCTGCTGGTGGATTCCTTCCAAGGATCATTCCATAGAGATTGTCCAAGTCGAACCTGATAATGATGATCCCCTGCTTAAGCTTACCTATGAGTTCTTCAAAGATTATAGTAGGGGAAAATCCGTCAAGAATGGAGTAAGACCGAAACATTTCACTGATTTGGTTAGGCATTTTCTACGTCCTGACAAAGAAATGGTTTTTAAACATAGTAGTACTCCAATAAAAAATATATATGCTGCAAGGAAGCTGAAGGCATCAGGGGTGAAATTTAGGCCACTTAAAGATGGCCACTTTATCATAGAAAAAGACGAGGCCACTAAATGTAAGCTCAACTTAGCGTGTTTTATAAATATGGACTTGAAGCTTACACAATTTTGTGTCAAGGATGAGACAGAATGCGTTATTCGAAACATCATGGCCTTGGAGCAGTTTTTATACCCAAACAAGCCTTATATCTGCAATTACTTTTTGCTTATGGATCAACTTGTGGACATTGTGGAAGATGTGGATTTGCTGGTTGAGAACAAAGTTATTCTTAACATGCTAGGCAGCAATGAAGCAGTGGCGAAACTGGTTAATAGACTTTGCGAGCAGATCATGGACGATAAATCCTGCTATTTTGATATCTGTGAGCAGCTTAATAAGCACCATGAGAATTTTTGGAACCTTCATGTCGCCACTCTGAAACGAGTTTACTTCAAGGATCTGTGGACAGGCAGTTCAACTGTAGTTGGAGTTTTCGTCCTGCTTTTCTCAATCATTGGAACCATTAAGTCTCTCATGTCGTAAGCTTTAAGCTCGTTCAACTCGTGATTCTTAATAGACAGAATGTTAAATTAAGTCATTACTTCAAGTGATGAACTGAACAAATAAGTTAGCTAGTGTTACAGATTTAACATAAAGTTCGAGTTACGAATTAGTTCTGTTATTGTTGTTAAAGACCGCAGAGCAGTTCTTGTGAATTGATTGTAATGAACATAATTTTCATTTAGAATTAAATAAAGAAAGAGTTATGCTCTTGTTTTCATTGCACTCAGAGTTGAAGACTTGGGTATTGAATCTTCAGCTTCAAAGCCACTTGCTGCTTTGTCTGGCCTTTACAGCAAATAGATGTTAAGAATGTAATTGCAATAATTACAGACCTGATCATCCCTTTTTATGACAAAGGTTACATCTTCAATAATTACAATAATTACAGACTTGAGCTTTTTCCGGGTGATATATATTTTTTTGAGGGCCACTAATACGATTTGCTTTGCTTCAATCTTTGTACCTTGGATTGTATATAGTTCAAAATAAATTTCGTTCAAATATATTTTTAAAATCAACAAGAGATTGGATATACTTGGGAACCCTTTCAACATTAAGAAGAAAACTGCCATGAAAGTTGATCTAACTCGACCTCTTATAAAATACGACTCTTGCTTTTTTCTAATGGCAAACCAATAGGAGTTCATTAAATACGGAAATATATGAAGGCTTTGGTACAATTTCAAGCTTCAATCAAGGCATTAACCAGCCAGGAAGGAGGGTTTACAATCCACCCAGAAGCTTACAATATTTTTACCATTTCAAGATGCTACATCATGAGCAACTTTATTATGCCTATGAGCAATTTCGTTAAATATGCTCTTTTTTCATACGCTATGAATTCCAACTGGGCATCCATACGCAGACCACTCCAGACGTCTGCGAAAGTTACAATGGACTCGACCTCAATCTTCAGCCAGCCCTCTCCAAACTCTCACAGCCTCTGGCAATGAAACTTATATGCAATATTGCACGCAGCCTGACAATAGTAAAGCTCAAATATCATCTCCACACACACACAAACCCGATCGCTGTTGCCTCTGATTGCTCACACCATGCAGCCTTGCACGTTAACATCAGCAATCCTCGAACTCAGGCAGCTCCAGCTCAACTCACTCAGCAGAAACCAGAAACCCCTTGAACTGGATTCTAAATGTTATACTGCCTTATAGCGTCTTTACCATGCACACAAACAACTCTTCAGTAACAGTAAGACTACCATTAACAGACTTATTAAAATAAAAATTATATATATACTAAAGCGCAATGCAACTAAATACTGTTCCTAAGCACAGTGAAATGACGGAAATGCCCTCTCTTTTTACTGTTTTGCAAACTCATTTTTCTCATCAGCACAGTGAAATCACGGTTTGCCCTTGATTAATTAGTTTCTGCTCTTCCCCGTTTTGCCCCCCCTCTCCTTCGATTGTAACGACTTGGAGCCTTCGTTCTATCTGATGCTGAGTTCGTTTCTAACCAGGTTGGTTGGCCTGGTTGCGGGGCAATGATGGAAGAGGTCGGTTTACTGTTGGAGATTATCTGGAGGCTTCGATTTTTATAGGAGTGGTGTGCATTGGTCTTCTTCTTCATATCGAACTCCAGCTCTCTCTCTGTTTCAATCTCTTTCTCTAATTCTCAGACATGGGTACTTTCAAGGTAAGCATGCATAGCTTATTCTCAGATTTCTCTACCCTTGCTAATTCATCTTATCTCATCTGCTTCGTTTGTTCAGCCATCTTTCCAGCTGCGCTTCATCCTTCTTCTCATCGCACGGGTTTAGCTCAAAGGGATTTCTAGGTTTCGAAAAAAAAGGTTGGTTTTAACATTCTTTTGGTTTTCTAGGTTGGTTTATTCATTTTCCATATCGAAAATTGAGAAGGAAATCAGAAATTGAGTTTGGTTTGTTTTTACAGGGAGGAAGATCTAAGGAAAAAGAACTGGAGTAATCAATATGCTGCTCATCAATCTGGTAATTGATGTCTGTGTGGCTGAATTTTTTTTTTTTTTTTTTTCTGTTTGTACTTATCTTGCATTCCCTTTTTGGAGTCTCTCTTTGACCTTGAAGATGCATAAGGTTCTTGATTACTGTCAATTACTGAAAATCATGTTATGTCATTTTCACATACAGCTCAGACAGACTAGCTTTCTATAGCATATACAGCCCTTGATTATAAAAGGGTGGAACCACATTCTCTTGATATAGTATTGCAATTGTATAGCAATACAGCCCTTTATTATAAAAGGGTGGAACCACATTCTCTTGATATAGTATTGCAATTGTATAGCAAGCTGTAAAATTTGTTGTATTACCTGCATTGCCCTGCTCTTTCTTCTCTGCTCATTTTCTTCTCTCGCCACAGCATTCCTCAACCTCACTCTTCCTGGCCAACATCCCAACCCGGAAGTTGTTGTTCAAGAAGTTCATAGGTAAAATACATAGCTTTAATTACCTCCTCTGTTTTTTTTTTCACTGTTTTCTTCTGTTTCTCAGCCTTTTGTAGATCTGAGTTATCAATCTTTACTTCTTTTTTCCCTTTATTTTTCAGGAAGGTTTATGCTTCTTTGGCAAGAAGGCAAATGCTGCAAGGAACCCAAAAATACTAGGACTCTTCATGCCTAACCGAAAACCCAATAGATGACTGTTGGGAATGTGACCCAAATTGGCCAGACAACAGGCAGAGCTTAGCAGATTGTGCAATTGGGTTTGGCCAATATGCTCTTGGAGGCAAAGGTGGTGAGTATTATATTGTCACAGACTCTTCTAATGATGATGCTGTGAATCCAAGGCCAGGCACTCTGAGATATGCTGTGATACAGACTGAGCCTCTCTGGATTGTGTTCCCTGGCAACATGCTCATCAAGCTCTCCCAAGAGCTCATCTTCAACAGCTGCAAGACCCTTGATTGCCGTGGAGCCAATGTCCACATTGTGGGTTGTGGCTGCATCACATGGCAGTACATAAGCAATGTCATCATCCACAATGTGCATATCCACCACTGTTATCCGTCAGGTACATGAGTTTTCCACTTCCTTTCATGAATTTTTATTTACCATATACGCATGGTTTGCTCATAGTTAAGTGTATTCAGATTTACTTGATACTCTTGGAAGCATAATTTCAGTGTATGCTGTAGGAATTAGCTCAAGTAGCAGAGAAGGTGTTTGATAAAAATTGGTTAGGATTAGAATAAGTTAAGATTTCGATCCATTCCATGCACGTGACGCTAATGTGCGTTCAAGTCCAACCCACTACGGCTACCGCACAAAATCAGAAGGATTTTGATCTCAAGGAAACTGACTTTTTGGACTTTATTTACTCTGTTTAAAATTGGCTTTAAAGGGAAGTTTTGAATGACTGATGAAACAGAGAATATGATTATATGTCAAATATTATATTGTTGTTTTTCAAATAGCATTTGTCTTCTGGCTGCTCCTATCCATATATATAATGACAAATAGCATATTTGGATAATCAAATTTGTTCATTTTCTTCCTTTTCAAAGTTACTAGGTTTAATTGTAACCGAAAAAAAAAAGTTACTAGGTTTAATTTGTGCTTCCACACAATATATAATTTATTCTCCATTTAGCTTAACAAACTTATTAATTGCACTCTCTGCATATTTTCAGGATTGATAATCATACAAGCCGATTTCAATCCCTCTTTCGTGTATCAGCCCTCATAAAGATGACATTTATATGCTTTTGTTGAAGAACTTTACGAAATATTCATTACATTTTTGTGTTGTTTTACCCCACATTGTATCTCAGTATCTTCTTGAAGATGTTGCTTTGGAGCCCAAATGGTTGAATAAAATCCCCGTAGGTCAGGAGTTCATGCTTTTTTTTAACTTTTATGGGGAACTTTTGCCATGACATTGATTAAGGAGCCAATATATTTAGCATTGAAATTTAAAATTAACTTCAGAATTCTTCATTAATTCTCAGGTACAGTGAGATCTATTTCTTTTACTTTCGAGGTTTATATTTTTTTATGACTCAGGCTGAATCAAGAAATTGTAAATTCTCCAGTAATGTGTTGATTCATGCAGTTGACAAACTCAGGAGCTTCTTAAGGCAACTTCCTCTTTTTTCAAATGCTTTTCTGGTTGGTGGTGCAGAAGACTTCTTTATCATTGAACTTGCAGATCAGGTAAATTTTGAAGCACTCTCTGCTGCAAGTAATTTTGTTGAGTTTTTGTTCTCATTGCATTGAATGATCAGGTGGATATTTTCTTTACTGGTCAGCTTCAAAAACTGAAGGTGGAACCAGCACATAAAACTTCTCCGGGGTAATATTCTAACCAATTTTTAGGTTTAAGATTTAAGGCATCATGTGAACTTGGTATTATGGTGGCTTCAGATTATCGACTTATTTATTGTGGTGCTAATTAATTAAACTCAAGTTATTTGAGCCTAGTTGGGGTTTAGGGTTCTCTCTGGTGGGCATGTAGATGATTTCTGATGATTTCCGATGATTTCTGGGATTGCCGGGCAGTCCAAACATGGGGCCTAGTCGGTGGTTCTCTCTGGTGGCTATGAAGATGATGAGGACCATGGCGAGTGGTTTCTTTACACAGGGAGGTAATTATATTTAATTATTATAATTATTATAATTAATTAATTCATAATGATTTTTTAATTTACCTGTTCTGTCTTAATTAATCTTTGGTTTTGTGCTGAACTGTACAGTGGTGGAAGGGACCTTAGTGGCAATAAGCGTACAAATAAGGCTCACACTTTTGATCAGAAGTTAGAGCTGAGGAATCAGGCGCTAAGAGAAAGTTGCCTACAGGGTTACCCTGTTCGAGTTGTCAGGTGAGTTTTGTGTCTTTGTCAAATAGAAAATATCTGATGCGAGAACAAATTTTTTTCACTTAAAAACTTTGTCATTTTTGTTTTCTTTATCGTTTTGGTTGAATCTTTTGTGTTTTAGCTAACACTAATTATTCTTTTGGGCAGATCCAAGAAGGAGAAACGCTCCTCTTTTGCCCCCGCCAGCAGGGCTACG